CTTCTTTTGTAAAAATATATATATATATATATATCTGTGTGTGCGCACACGTCCGTTGACTTTCAGAATTCAAGGGAATATTTTTATTTATATGAAAGGGTTAAAAAATCCCTTACATGAATCATATATATATATATATATATATGTGTATGTATATGTATATGTTGACTTTCATAATGCAATGAAATTATTTTATTGATATGAAATGGGTAAAAAAATCTCTTACATGAATCCTAGAAAAGAAAAGCAATAAGAAATAACTAAAATAGAAAGATATATCACTTAATATAACCAATTAACCAATTCATATTAATTATTTGGAGATAAAGAAAACAACATAAAACAGGAAAGCCTAAAAAAGGAAAATAAATCTAATCTAAGAAAATAAATCTAAAAATAGGAAAGGAAATAAAGTTATATCAACAAAAAACTCTATGCTCTTCTTGGACTTCTTGATCTCCCATAGCACAACTATTTCGGAAAGGAAATGATGGGGTTTCTTCATGCAACCAGTCACAAGAGCCAGCTTCCTGGCTACTTTGGTTGTATGTAGGTTCCTCGGGACATTGCCATTAGTGCACTTGTAACCAATTTGCATCGTCCTCGCCATCAAAGTGGTTTGGGATTTTATCGTGGCTTCATATCTTTTGTCCTTGCATGTATGGGCTAGAATTCATAACATAAAGGAACTCATTGATAACACTAATCCACCATTAGTTGCTTGTAGCTATCCCTTATGCAAGATGACCTCCACGTGTTGTTGGTTACCAAAACAATATGCTTGTTTTCCCTGCACTCACTCCAGGGAGTCACTTCCTGCGTACATATTAGATCATCTGAAGCACTGACAATGGAACTGATACATTCCCCGCATAGCTAGCACCACTACAACGGTGGTAGTATCCACAATCTCAAACTTTCCAACTAGGCGTGTAGTATGGTCGTCAATGCCTCGAACATAGCCTAATATTTTGACGTCATCCCAGTTGGCATCAAGACAGGTTGATGTAATTTGATATAACCACTGAGGCCAATTGTAAGGGCTCTATCAAAGATATGTTGGACCAATTTGCAACTAATGAATTATCACACACAGTTATGGATAAACCCCCAAGCCTAAGAGGGCTTTCAACAGCATTCCAACCTGACATCTTATAAGCTATATGCTTTACATATGCAAAAGAAGAATCACTAGTTTGATTAGGCACCACAATAACAACTAAAGCACTATCATCTTTAGAGATGATACCGTCATTGTCCAAAGAACCACCTGCAACATTAGAAGCAAGCAACCAATCCAAAGCAACTATCCCACCATCAGATACAGAGAAAAGTTATCTTCATCACTGGATAACACGACACTTGGAGACTACATTCTCATATTACTTGGAACTAGAATAGTGCATGAGCTTCACATGATCTCCCCCGAATCCAAGAAACACATTTCTGAGGAAAAGAAAAAAAAAATCATAGAAGATCACGAGCAGTAGGAGAATTGCCACAAGATAGGCATACGTTGACATTGTCGATGCAACCGTGATAAGAAACATAGTCAGTACCTCCCCTCTAGAAACGCACTCGCCATTGCTTTCGACAACCAAGTGCTTCTTGTCCCTCAATCTATAGCGGTTGATAAGATCTCGAGCATGTAGGCGAGATCATGGATGGAGGTTAGAACGAGACTCGACAATGGCGACTGGGAAGACATCCATATATGATTGTCATGCCAACATATGATACACCAAAAAATAGTTGAGCGTAGCCATTTTGACCTTTCATCCTGTAGTTTCTAATTTATTGTTGAAAAGCTTGGAAGTTGAGTAGTATGGCTGTTCGACTAGGAGTTCCAACACCATAATAAACAACATGGCTATGATACCAAGGTGGAGAGTTTCCAATAGCTAATTTCATCAAGGAGTTTCAATGGGCAGGGCCCGCAGGGAGAAGTTTGTGTCCAAAAAGCTATAATCAATGATGTTGAGGAAGGGCTTTGCCTGCTCCAGTAAATAAGAAGTTTCTAGCGAGATGAGACTTTAAGGTCTGTATTAAGGCTCTGATACCATTTTGATTTTAAAAACTTCGCAAAATATTTTCATTAATATAAAAGGGAATATAAATAACTTTTAGATGAATCAAAAAATAAGAAAGACGATGAAAAAGAAATAACATGAAAGAAAAGATATAAAATCTAACATCTCCAATTAATCAATTCATATCAATTAATTTGAGATAAAATAAATATTTAGTATAAAAGCCTAAAATAAGAAAAGTAGTAAAGTTAATCAAATATAAAAGCCTAAAATAAGAAAGAAAATAAATTCATTCTACAAAAATAAACATAAATAAGAAAGGAAATAAACTTATATTAAGAAATAAATCTAATCCTTATAATTTAAAAAATAAATAAATTATTTCTTAATATAACATCTAACAATATATATAGGAGAAAGCTTTTTTTTCCCTTCTCTTAATATAACATCTAACAATATATATAGGAGAAAGCTTTTTTTTCCCTTCTCTTAATATAACATCTAACAATATATATAGGAGAAAGCTTTTTTTCCCCTTCATTTAAAATGGGGGAATGACCACCAATATTGCTTCTCCCAACATTTTTTTAGATTTACATTTGAAACTATAAATGTATTGAAATACTACAGCTTAAATCCCTATATCTCATACTTAACAACTCAACTAGTGGGAATCCAAACAGATTCTTCAAAAATTACTACTCACAGCAACAAAATCATAAACAAAACAGAGACCTATCACTGCATATTCCTATCAGCTTTCCAAATATTTTCCCCACCATGTGTTCTTGAAAGCCACCTCACCAAACTATCTTAAAAAGTCTACATAATTTCATTTTGAGCTCCAAAAGCCCCACCATTTCCTTCGTTTTTTTCCAGTTTCAGAATTTCTAATCTTCTGAAGCGCGGCCTTCACTTCTCTCAATCGAACCTTGTAATTTTTCTTCCAAGAAGCGAACCGAACCTTTAGTTTGCTGAGCTCTTCATGAGGATTTAAGTTGGAGACAGACAATCCTGCCTTCACTTCAACAAGGAAACCTGCATCATCCTCAAATATCTGTCTCCGCTCCTCAAACTCTTTGACTAAGTGGCTAATTGTGTTCCTTAGGGCTTCAGGAGTTCTATTTGGTCTCAAACCGGAGGCACGTTGCTTAACAGGCGTTCCCTCAGTTGTGAAGGTTTCAACAGACATTGCATCTTCAGAGTCAAAATATGGGTAATTTGGTGATACATCAGGCCTTCCTGCCAGATTGACCACATCGTTTGAAGCAAGGCTCCTCTGCGCAACAGCCAAACTTATCTGCATCCAGAATAATGTTTTCATGGTTAAGGCTAACAAGAAATTCAGCAAATGAATACAGAATAATGTTAGTTATAGTGTGACTGAAGTTATTTACAATGGTAGTGATTAAGGTTTACCACTTATATTTACAAAATGAAATGTATTAAAAAGAAACCTGCAAGGAAGTCATCTGTTTTTGCCACATCTCCTCCAAGTGCTTCATTTTTGCATCATAATCTGACCATCTCGTCTCATATTGCTGCAATTTTTGATATAGACAGCAATTTTCCTCTTCCTTGTGTCTGAGCTCTGCTTCTGCCTTCAGAGCCCGCCTCTTAAGTTCTGACCAATCTGAATCTTGCAGGGGAGAATGATCTTGCTGGGCATTCAGAGATTTAGAAGTATTAATCACTAACTTCTGGTTTAAGCGATTTATTCAGACTCGGGGTATCAGAAATGAGCAAAGATGGCTTTAATTTGGCAAGAAGAAAACTTTCTAATGAAATAAGCAGTATACATGATTAGTGAGGTGACATAATAGGAAGTATACACAATATAAATAGTAGATGCTGAGAATTGGTCCTTATATAGGGTCATATTGGTAAAATGGAAATATTGAAGAAATCTAGGGGTGTGACTATAAAAAATTGTAATACCCTATTTAAGCCCATGTACTGAATGTTATGAATGTACAATCACATGAACCTCGCGACGGGATACAGTCACAATTAGAGGGAAGGCAAAAATGGGGCTATCTAGTTGCAATTCAGCAACAGGGTGATCTAGTTGCGATTCGGCGAGAATCCTCACGATTTGATGCAGCACAATTAATGGGTATGCAGACATGGGCTAAGTTTAGAGAATGCTTGAGCCTGGTTTGACAAGTTTAGAAAGAATATGACAGACATGGGATATCAACAGATCAATGCAAGCCATACGGTGTTCTTTCGACAACATGAATGTCACACCACTACACTTATTATATATGTTGATGACATCATTGTCACAGGTGATAATGAGACATAGATTGCAAAATTAAATTTAAGTTTAGGCAATGAAATTGAGGTGAAGGATTTTGGAATACTTAGATACTTTTCTTAGGATTAAAGTGACCCGTGGACCTAAAGAGATAGTCTTGTCCTAGAGGAAGTATGTACTAGATCTCCTCATGGAAATAGACAGACTGAGGTGTAAACCTGCAGTCTCTCCAATTAACAAGAAAGACAAGCTAAGTGCTAAGGCAGAAGAACCTATTGATTGTGAGAGGTACAAGAAATTGGTAGGACTTCTGATCAATTTGTGCCACACTCAACCAAGCATCTCTTTTGTAGTGAGTTTGGTCAGCTGCTACAAGCATGAACCAAAGAAGGGACATAAATGCAGTGTATTAAATTCTGAGGTACATGAAGAGTGCACCAGGGAAGGAGTTGATATTCACGGAGAATAGACATGTAGATATTGAGGGCTTTTGTGATGCTAATCGGACGAGTTGTGTAGATGACGGATGATCCACCTTAGAATAATGCATGTTCGTAGGGGCAAATTAATCTCCTAGAAGAGCAAGAAATAACCTTAATAGCGAGATCAAAAATAGAGGCAGAGTACAGTGTCATGGCCGTAGGAGTTGCCAAGATGATGTGGCTGAGAGCCTTGTTGGTCAAGCTCAAGGTGACCAAGGAACTCAATAAAGATTATGGTGTAACAACAAGTCAGCAATCAACATTCCAACAATCTAGTGCAACACGATAGAACCAATAATGTGGAGACTGATAGATTCTTCATCAAGGAAAAGCTAAATTATAGGTTACTGGAGCTAAGTCATGTAGCCACTGGAGAGCAAGTTGTTGACTGCCACAATAAAGAACATAGGTTGTTAGACTTGTCTACGTTATGTGACAAATCTTGAGGAGTGTTGAGAATTGGACCTTATTTAGGGTCCTATTAGAAAAAGGGAATATTGAGCAGTTTTTAAACAATTCCTTCTTTTGTAAAAAATTAACAATAAAAGAAATTACAATAAATTCATTCACATAGATTAGTGAGGTAGCATTCACTAGCACACAAATCAATTAATTATAAACATCGATACAATATTTCTTCCATTAAGTGATTAATTGAGCTATATAGGCTAGCATTTTTGGACCTTTTTTTCCAAGGAATCATGAGTCAAAGGCAGTGAAGTAGATGATTAGTGAGGTGGCATAGTAGGAAGTAAACATAAATAATAGTAGAAATTTAGCAATAAGATTAATTGCAATCAAACACATAGATTAGTGAGGCTATATAGACCAACAATTTTGGCTCCTTTTACCCAAAGGCAGTGAGGTAGATGACTCGTGAGGGGGCATAATATGAAGTAAACATAATAGTAGAAATTTAGCAATAAAATTAATTACAAAAAATTTAAGCACATACAATACTGAGGTAGCATTCACAAGCACACAGATCAATGGCATGTCATTTACGGAGTTGGTCTCACCATAACTAGTGGAGAATACCACTTAAATATAAACATTGTTACAAAATCCCTTCCATAGGCGATTAACTGAGCTATAGAGACCAGCATTTTTGGATCCTTTTCCCTAACGGATCATGAGCCAAAGGTATATAGACCAGCATTATTGGATCCTTTTGCCCAAGGGATCATGAATAAAAGGTAGTCAAATATGCATATTATGGCTTTAAAGGACAGACCAAGCTTTGGCTAAGAATTTTAAATAAAATTGTTTTCAGGTTTCAAATGCGTACAGCTATCACAAAGACAAAAGAAAACCAAACTAAACATTAAAGACCAACCATCAAATACAAATAATGTTAGATGATTAAGCTCCCAACTTTTGTTGGTATCCAACAAGCACTCGCCAAGCACAAGCAGGCAGACAAATGCATGCACAAACATGCATGCATGGGTGTATGAGTGCACATGCACTCTTGCCATGCACATTAAATACACCAAGCACATGCTAGCAATGATTGACTATTTGTTGAGGATCCCTAGGAGCATACCATTACTTTGATTGATGGACCTATTTAGTTAAATCAAATCAACCAAATATTTTGGTGGAATTGATTAATGGATAATGAATGTGTTATGCCGGCCTAGCTTACAGGCAATTTTATCTTTTGTAACCTAGCGAAATTTAGGCTTTTGTCTTTTTTATTATCTAGTATAAACAGGGCTGATATGTTTAGAGTTAGGGTTATGCATAAAATTGTTAGTGGAAGTTTTAAGTTTAAGAATTGGAAGAGATTTCCTACATCTCGATTGTAAGAATTGGGAGAGTTTACTTCTCGAATTAAGGTGTTTATCTTGTATTCGTGGTGCTTTGGATTATTAACTACAAGAATTTGCTTTGCCCTAATTTATAAGAAAAATTTTGTCAATTTCTACATCAAATTGTATCAAATTGATATCAGAGCGTTTCGATCCAGGAAGAAAAAAGAAATTCAGCCTGAAAAAAATTATGTCCAACCTATCGATCGAGCTTTTGGCAGAGACCAAAATCTCCCATCTTTCTCCTCCTGCGTCCGTTGTACGATAGAGTCGCGATCAAACTTGGAAAGCGACGACGGGCTCACAACAGAGAGACCTAGCAGAGAAGGCAACGATGGGATCGTGGCCTACAGAGACCCAAAATGCCAATCTTTCTCCTCCTCCCTCTCCATGGACACAATACAATCGCGATTAGAGCTAGCTGAGAAGGAAATGATGGGATTGTGGCTTACAGAGGCCCAAAAATATTCTTCTGTTTTCGCGAAGAAGATTGATGGAACCGCAACGTACAAAACGTCTGATTTTTTTTATTGTGACAGTCACGATCAAGCAAACGCGGCATACAATGAACTTATTTCGCGGTATTGCCACGATCAAGTTATTGGGAACAAACCAATGGAACGGTACACATTGTAATGAGAATATCATGGTACATTCATGATTTGGCTTCAGTCGAGCTAGCTAGGAAGACAGATCGAGGTGTTATAGTAGCCATCATGACCTCGCAAAACAATCTTGATTTGATATAATTGGGAAGCGAGGATTGAATTTCAAAGTAAAAGGTTTTGCCATTTTGATCAAAAATATTATTCTGGGAGAGACCGCAGAGACTGAGGGAAATGATGGAGCTTATTCCACAAGAGTACCTTGACGACCATGACACCGACGATGTCATTTCAAAAGGAGACGACAAAGGAGAAGAATATGAGGGCCCATCCCAATTGAAACTTCAAGAGCCTCACGGAGGCAAAGGTGATGGACAAGAGAGCAAAGAGATAATGTTTTCGAGGTGGTGAGAAGTATGGCCCCGACTATCGGTGCAAGTATCGCACGCTCTAGGTTTCTTTAGTTTGTGAAGGGAAGGAGTCAGATAGTGAGGAGTCATATGAACAAACGGTGGATGAAAAACATCATTTTTCCCAGCTTGAGGACAAGATATTTTTTTCGGTGGGGAGTATTTGTTGCACCGTCCTAGCCTAAGGACAAGTTTGCCTTTTGTGCGCTTAAGGACAATGTAGTCCTTTGTCATTAATTATTGTTTAGTATAAATACGGTTAATATATTTAGGGTAAAAGTTATGCATGAGATTGTTCCTCTCGAATTATAGGAATTGGGAGAAATCGCCTACCTCTCTAATTATAGGTGATTGTCTTGTATTCGTATTGTTTTGGATTATCAACGAAAATAATTTGCCTTTCCCTAATTTCTGTGAAAAATCGTGACGATTTCAACTTCGATCATATCAAAATGGCAACAAAAGGTGTGTAATTTGGATGCTTCGATAACCAAATTGTTTGGTTTCTTTTTTAGATTCTTAGCTTTGTCACCAATCAAAGCCATTAATTAAGCTTCATTAATCATGGCAGTTTACATAATGAAGAACATTGTCATCTTTAAAAATAATAATAATAATAATGCTCAAAAAGTAAATTACCTCTAATTCATGGAGCTTCTTCCTTTGATCACTGTGAAGGTTTAAATTATTGCACTTTTTCATTTCCAGATTTCTGCCAATATTGAAATGCTTTCTTGCCAACCAGCCCCGTATGACTTAAATAAAAAGTATGATTCAAGGCGCAATCAATTAATGAAAATAGGAAAAAGAAAACAAACACTCTTTACAAGGTTACCAAAAGTTACCTGACTGCAGAAGCATTATAAGCTTCTGTTGTTTAGAATATGCTTTCTGAGCAACCCACCGCTTAAAATGCATTTGTATAAGAACAGCAGCTCTATGCAGCTTTGCTAAATAGTGAAACTCATTTCTTGCTCTTACAGCTCGTATAACTATTGAATAAAAGGAAACAAAAATGCCAAAAATGTTATATTACTCTTGTAAATTCTCAACCGAAAAGATTAAACCATTCCCTTATCCGGGAAACCTGAAAAACAGTTAGAAAACAGCAATAAAAAAGTGGAAAAGGAAGAGTAACATTTTGCAAGAGAACTTTTTCTTACATGTCTGCAAAGTTGTAGCTCCATTTTTAACATCATTAAAAATGCAACGAGCTCGAGCACCACGAAAATATTTCTGAATGCACAAGATTCCTTGCAGTTTACATGCTCTAGCACTTTCTAGCGTAGCAAGCTATAGATATTTCAAGACACAAAGCGTAAGACGATCAAGCAATTCGAAATATTGACTTAAAGAACATATGAAAAAGAGCAACATGGGCATTAAAACAATTAAGAAAGCACCGGATTAGGTTTTGCTCAGTGACATATAAAGTAAGAAACAATCCCTTAATTAGTGCTGTTAATCAAAATAATACCATTGAGAAGCTAAGCAGATTTCCTGGAAAGAAAAAGAATCAAATAGTACATGAAACTAAAGGGACAGGAAGAGTAGCGGTAAAGAAGACATCAAATACATCCAGAGATCAAATCTCAATATCATTATGATAATGACATATACTATCCGGTTGGAAAAGACAGATCATGACCACAAATCTAACAATCATTGAATTGTTAATGATGAGTTAGGTTGATTAATAATATACCCTTTTTTTTATTTATTTGCTTACTGGATGCAAATGGAGAATTAACATCCTGCGCGGAAGAATCAAGTATTAGTGGCTCGTTAGAAAGTAATCTGAAAACAGATGGCTGTTTTGTTTGATTCGTGCTACAGAGACAACAGACATGTTTAAAATAACCCAACTATTACATTTAATTTCGGAAAATTATGTATAATTACATTCATAACTCACCTAAATTTGAATTTTTCTGATGGTTTACGTTTTGGAAGTATTTTTATCATATTGAAAGCATAGATTTGATCAGGTATTGTGAAACTATTAAAAGAAAAAAAGAAAGGAATGTGGCCATAAAGAAACTACAGAATTTATTAAAAATACCTCCTATCAATTGACACCTCCTTGTATTAAAAATACCTCTTAATGACTTGCAACCACTCAATGAACTCATCCAGATTTATTCTCCACTCCAAATCCAGTAAGTATATCTTCACTCCCAGGTCACTCTGTCCTCCAAAGTACACTTCATCCCTAAGTCTCCTCTGATACTGAATTCCGAAGCACTGTGGCCTACTGCCACCTTTTCACTAGAATCATACCTATGGAAGGGGTTCATATTTCCCTCCCTCTCTCATTTTTGAATGTGATCTCTCCAAGAGTCCTTTCCTCGATTTTACCAAGCCTTTACTGAAGTTGGCAAATTTCCCGATGCATCTCTTCCATGGTAAGTTCCTGCAAGGCTTCTAGCACTTTTCTCCTTAGTGACAAGGCCAAGGTTTTAGGGTTGGGAGGTGTGAAAGAGGATGTATGGGACTGATTTAGGGAGGGGAGGGGGGGAGTTAGGGTGGCTAATTTGAAAGATCAACAAGGGGGAATGATATTTGGGTGGAATTTGGGTTAGGTATTTAGTGGATTTTGGTAATCCTAGGATAAGACTAGGTAGGCTACCTTTGATACGAAATCATACTGAGATTTAACAAATATTCAACACAAGGTGGAAATCTAAAACAGTAACAAACACAACACATAACCTGAGGGCAGCAAGAATAAAGGGATAAAAATAGCATATTGATGGTCCTTTGCAGGTAGCAACATGTAAGGAGGGCAGGCACAACAAGTATGTTGTTTCAAGTAGGTGGCAAGATATAGGAATACACAACCAGTAGGCTGTTTCAGGGTGGCAGCAACAAATATGCAGCGGGAGGTTGACTAGAAAGATTTGACAGAAAGTTGATGGACAGCGAATCTGAGGAAAACAGCAGGCGGATAGATTTTCTGGGAATGACAACAAGGTGCAGAGGTGAGGGAAAGGAAGCCAGTGTGGGAGTGGGATGGAGGGAGGGGTATTGGAAAGATAAAAGCCACCTCAGAAACGAGATTCGAAGCACCACTCGGAACCCTTGAATACAGTGTTAGATGGAAAAGTGAGATGCCGATGGTTGTCCCAAACAAACACAGCAAAAAAACAAACCCTAAAATATCACAAAAGCAAATATAAAATATTATTACAACTACGAGTGGGCCCACTTCCTTCGGTAGCATTCCCTAAGGTTAGGAGGGTCGGTTGTCCCCTCCAAACTCGTGAACTAAATCGATCCAAGGTTTCCCTAGGCACCCCACATCACTCTATCTCTCTCTCTCTCCTTTTTTAAACTGTATGATTGCTTTAAATGTCAAAAAGTTATTTAAAGTGCGGTAAAGGTTATTGTCGGATAGCACATGTAAATTGGATATTTTTAGAATAATGCAGGCAATTATTATATAATTTTTAGAATTAACTAAATTATTTTTACATGCCTAGTATCATTGATTGTTAGTTTAATTAATCATTATTAAGTGGTTGGTTTTTAACATTATTATTATCACAATCATCGTCAACATTATTCTAAAAATATGGCGCCAATTGTATCCATTTTTATGTTTTACTCTTTCTTGTGGAGTATATATGTTAGGCATTGACTTAGTTGTGGCAATTAGGTTCATCATCATCCTTCTCAATCATCACATAAATTATATCTATCTACCACCTTAGTGGATTTTTTGCTCCATATTCTACATGTTTCTACATGTACAAATCAACAAGTCAATTTTCTGTCTTCGATTGTTACTGCTCCAAATATAATATAATTATCTTACTCTCTATATACTTAATTTAGCACACATTCATGCTAAAACTTTAAGTTTTGCTACTCAACCTAGCTTCCACTAACTATGTTCTTTAAGAATAAGGACCTCATAGAACATCAATTTATTTGCAATTTGACCAATTTTTCTTATCTATGGATGGCTTTCTCATAGTTGCAGTACTGACTTCTGAGATGCTAGTATCCATAATATACTCTCAATTACCCACAACCCCTTTGCTTAAATTTATAAAAGTTCTCTCCTTCTATATCCTCATTCTACTTTATAATATATCTAAAATACTTGGAACTTATTAATTTTTTAGGGAATAAGAAGTTGCATAAAATTGGCAAGCCCCATTATTCTAAAAAACTATAAAACATCATCTAGCAACAACACCTCATGATAAAATAGTAACTTTAAACTCCAAGTTTTGCTACTCAACCTAGCTTCCACTAACTATGTTCTTTAAGAATAAGGACCTCATAGAACATCAATTTATTTGCAATTTGACCAATTTTTCTTATCTATGGATGGCTTTCTCATAGTTGCAGTACTGACTTCTGAGATGCTAGTATCCATAATATACTCTCAATTACCCACAACCCCTTTGCTTAAATTTATAAAAGTTCTCTCCTTCTATATCCTCATTCTACTTTATAATATATCTAAAATACTTGGAACTTATTAATTTTTTAGGGAATAAGAAGTTGCATAAAATTGGCAAGCCCCATTATTCTAAAAAACTATAAAACATCATCTAGCAACAACACCTCATGATAAAATAGTAACTTTAATATCAACTGTATACAAGTACAAGAAGCCAAGTTTTGACTACTAAAGATGGCAATGTTAAAATAACTTCTCAAAGAGATTTAGACAGTCGGCATTTTCGACGAAGCCGATGCTGCTCCACTCAATTCCATCAAGTTTATACTCCTAGTGAAAATGAAAATAAAAAAACTATAAAAGTCATGAATGAACGGTTAAAAGAAATATTTCATTCATGTGGTTTTATAAGATAGAAATGAATGTAATGAACACTTTACACCACCAAAACACTATATTTATAAGGATAGAAATATTATTATAAAACCAAAATTTTCAAGTTTTAAGGATATCCTGCCAAAAAAAAAACGGTTGCAATTATGGTGAATCTAAACAGCATCTTTGGGAAAGAAAAGGGATGGAGATGAAAATTTAATCAGCCTAGGCGATAAATCGATATTACACAAGAAAAGAAAATATATTCACTAGTTCTATGAGCCAACATATGATATGATAAAATAAAATAAAAAAATCACAGTTTAAAATATTGAAAGATAAAACCAAAATCAGTTGCTGGACGCGCAAGACCCGTGATGCTAGTTGGAAAAAAAAAGTCCAGCATGAAATGATAACAATTTTACCTCCTGTTCATATTTAAGAAGGTGGCTATTAAAGTACTGCTGCATCTTTTCACTAGCATAACTACTGCAAAATTCATCAAATCCATTCTTCTGCAATAAAGCAGTTTAGTCCCATTAGTTCTGCCATAATGCTGTTTAGCCGCGTAAGATCTTATAAAAAACATATAAACTACGTCATCTTACAACATTCTTACATGGGAAACATCAAAACCACATGCATCTAATATACTTATAGAGCTTCCACGATGAATTTTTCCTGCATGAAGAGATTTATTGATCTGCACAGCAACCCAATCAAACAGAGCAGCATAAATTGATTTTGCCAAGGCATCTCTGGCGTCAACCGCCTGCAGTAAAAGGAACAGATATAAATTAGCACGCTTCAGAAGTTCTTCAAGCAGAGCAAGTGTTTAAGAGCAAGTTAGAAACCTTGGATAATGTTAGCTTCTGAACTACAGTCTCATTTCTGGAATAACTCGTTTGAGTTGATAATGCTAAAACTAATGCATTAACTTCACAACCCAATAAATTTTCCATACTAGCTACAGCTGCAAAATTTTGCAATAAAATGAGTCGTCGCACATATGAGTCAAAGCAAAAATTCACATCTGCAAATAGTCAAAAGCAAAAGGAGAAACCTTAAGAACTAATATTTAGTTACTCTAAAACAATGCTTCTGTGATAGGAATCTGATATGAAAATTTGATCATAATCTCCACACCATATTAACTTTGACAACTGAGCTTTTAATGTGAATATTTTAAAATTTTAATCATACTTTAAACTGCCTAAATTGAAAATGATTACGAATCCAAATCCAATAGATTATATGATGATTTGACTAGCAACCAAGTTTGGTAGAAAATTCAATGTTTATAGATTGAAAAACAAAAAGGCTATCGACGAGGCCCTTGTAGAGCATCAAATCCGTTGTGTACTTAAAATCTGAAGGTTTCAAGCTACACAAATAGATTTCTTCTTCCAATTGATTTTAACCATTGTACCTCTAAAATAAAAATCAAAACAAGTAATCTTACGGTATAGAAATGAAAATTATTAGGAACCAAACCCAAAAAACCATATGACTATTTAACTAATCACACAGATTAGAAGATATTAACTAAATAATTCCATGTGAAAACGCAACTATTAGACAAATTGAACGTAAAGCATGAAAAGTGACCAACCAAACAAAAGGGATAATAAAGCAACATGAGTTGTCACATACATAAGTTAAAGCAAAAATTCACATTTACAAATAGTCAACAGCAAAACGAGAAGCCCTTAGAACTAATATTTAGTTACTCTAAAACAATGCTTCTGTGATACCAATCTGTTATGAGCATTTGATCATAATATGCACACCATATTAGCTTCAACAATTGAACTTTTAACGTCAATATCTTCAACATTTGATCATGCTTTACACTACAACAAAATAAAAATGGTTAGGAATCTAACTGGTGTGGGAGCTTCACACCTTGCTGCTGCAATGACGTGGTCATAAAGAGCTGTGGGATCTCATCTCGTGATTCCTTCATTTGGGTCAAACAAGTCCAGATCAGAGAGGGCTGACCAGCCCGAGGTGGAAATCTTCTTCCAAGGAATCGAGTGATACTCTAGCTATAGCTTACTCTATCGAGAATATTTATCTCCAATATTTCCATCCTCAGCATCCCTCCTTAGCTATAGCTTGTAAATTTTAATTGCTTTCTCTAGTGGCTCGTTCATGTATTATTTGAATATTAAATTATTATTGTGAAAATTATAATTAGATAGTAGTGAATTGTTTTCCACCGTCCAATCGTCCATTCATGTCTTGGTAAACTCCAAACTCCGGGTCGGGTCCATACCGGGGAAGTGCCACTGGAGCTCCTACATCAATCACCCTAATCATATTGATAAATTATATTTTTTCTAAAATAAATTCTTTTTTAAATATTATTTAAAACTTATTAATAATAAACTAATAAGAAATTTTGATAAGTATGGTTGTAATCACTTGCAAGAAAATGATAGCCGACAGTGCAATATCGGCCAAAGGTGTGTTAGGTTTAGTTACAGTAATTCTCATATGGATAGATATTTATGCAATAAATACGAAGTAAGAAAAATGTTAAAATAAATGCATATAGAAAATTAATGTATGATCGTATAGGAATAAATTATTGATACATACATTAGTAAATATCAGATTGCTTATAAAAATATGAAATACCAGCGTATTATAAAGATTTCTTATAGACTCGCATGCATATTAAATTATTTTCCTTAGATTACTATAGTTTAGAAGTATGATTAGTCATGTGTTATCTTTAGATAACTCAATATGTTGTTTTAATATAATTGTTAGGTTTTAAATATTTGAACAAGATGAATAGAAGAGGAACAAATGTGTATAGAAGATAAGAACATCAAACGGAAATGTACAAATTTTTATTTGTGATTTTAATTGTTTTCTCTAGTGGCTCTTTCATGTATTATTTGAATATTAAATTGTTAGTGTTAGAATTATAATTTGATAACAGTGAATTGTTTTCCACCGTCCAATCGTGCCAGGCCAGGTCATAATACACGGGGTCTCGCAATCTCCATAGCAAAAAAGCATCACTCCACACTAGACAATTGTGTTGTGTAGATCGCTAACTGTTATGCCAATGTGAGCCGACAGGGCAATATCGTTCAAGGGTGTGTTATGTTTGTTGACGTGATCCTCACAAGGACAAAACTGTATGTAAAAAGTATAAAGTAAAGTTAAGATAAATTCATATAGAAAACTAGAGTATGCTCATTTAGAAAAAAGTTCTTCATACATACGTTAATATATATTAGATTATTTATAAGAACATGAAGGATCAGCATATTATAAAAATTTCATATAGACTCGCATACATATTAAATTATTTTCTTTAGATTATTATAGTTTAGATGTATGATTACTTCTAGGTTATCTTTAGATATTCATTATCTTGCTTTAATATTATTGTTAGGTTTTAAAAATTTGATCAATATGAATAGAAAATGAACAAATATGTATAGAAGAGAAAAACAACAAATAAAAATGTACAAATTTTTGTTTGTTAATTTTAATTGTTTTCTCTGGTGATTCTTTCATATATTATTTGAATATTAAATTGTTAGTATTAGAATTATAATTAGATATCAGTGAATTGTTTTTCACCGTCCAATCGTCCGTTCCCATCTTGGTTAACTCCAAGCTGGGTCGGGTCATAACACACGGGTTCTTGCAATCTCCATACCGGGGGGAAGCGCCACTGGAGCTCCTACATCAATCACCCTAATCATATTGCTAAATATTGCTAAATTATATTTTTGAAATTATATTTTTGCTAAAATAAATTCTTTTTTAAATATTATTTAAAACTTTTTAATAATTAACTAATTAGAAATTCTGATAAGTATGGTTTTAATCTCTTGCAAGAAAATGATAAAATTAATTAGGCAAATTAGGCCCTTCATAAAGGTTTACAAGTATTTGCAAATCCACTACGGGTCTCCACAAAGTACTGTAATGCTCAATAAAAATATAAATATTTTAGGCCCATGATAAAAAATTCTAACGGTCTCCACAAACTACTCTGTGAGCCTCAACAAAAGTTTAAAGGTCTCGAAAAATGTCAAAATATGGAGATATTTAATGATAAATTTTAGTCGTTTAAGACCATATCAAGTACGGAATTAAGTCGATTTTCAACAATGGTTGACTATATCAGCATATAAAAAATATTATTTTATTTTTTAAATTAATTATTTAAAATCACAAGCACCTCATATAAATAATCTAAGTATTTTTAACATCGGTTGACTATATGAACAAATGAAAAAGATTATTTTATTTGTAAATTAATATTTAAAATCACAAGCACCTCATATAAATAATCTAAAGACCTTAAGTTAATATCTAATGCTTACATACTCACCAAACCCTAAACCCGTTTTCTCTACAAACCAACAACCAAAACTAACTTCTTCGACAAAAAAATGGGCAAGTAAATTTTAAATCAAATAGGACGAACGTTTTGGTTTGCTTGAGAATGAAGAGACTCAACAATATTATAGTGTTGTGATATTCTAAAGTTTTTCATTCAAGAATTCATCTATACAAGAGAACTATTTCTTCTTTATACCTATATTTATTTCTTGATTACATCACGTATATTTTGTACTATCATGTATACTTTTGTACGATTTTCATTGTTGAAAAAGAAGAATGAAATAAAGATTTCTCCTCTAGCTTATCTCGATTGAAAGAAGGTAATCACAAAAAGAAAGAAGAAAAAAGCTTCTCCTCTTATTGAAACTGTAACAAATTTTTTCTATAAGATGTGGAAAAAAATCAAAGGTGTAGTAAACTCCAACATGTGGACGTAGTCCATGAATAAATTACGTAAAAATCATTGCTTTTTAGTATAGTTGTTTGTATTTACATTCCATGATTATTATTGCATTTATATTTTATTTATTTTGCACCATAAAATGTTAAACTGAAAAAGTTATAATTTTTTTTATGAAATTGGCCTTTCGGTCATCTAAACCAACAATGATCTCTTTTCAAAGATTATTTGCATTCCTTCTGAGACACTCGCAACCTTAAGGGAAAAAAACCTATGACTACTTCCCTCTAATAACTATTATTTTCAAACTAAGCCATAACATCTTCGAGTCTACAGTAAATTTTTGTTTGCCTTTTATATCTAAATTTATTTGTGTGCTAACTTATTTATTCTAGGAATTTTCACTATTTATTATGGTAATAGCTCCTCATTATTGAGGATATCCACCTTGTTTGTATATTTCTTGATTGTTTCCTCTTATTTCCTATATATAAGGACATATAAGCTTGCAATAGGAATACAATTCAATAAAAAATGTAGTTATTTCCAATGATATCCCTTCTAACATAGTTAAAAGAAAAAAAAAATGAGAAGGGGAGTTGCACAACACTGAAATATCATGAATTCGATAAAAAAATGTAGTTATTTCCAATGATGTCCCTTCTAATATAGTTAAAACAAAAAAAAATGAGAAGGGGAGTTGCAATATAGTTAAAACAAAAAAAAATAGAATATTTCTTGATTGTTTCCTCTTATTTCCTATATATAAGGACATGTATGCGTGCAATAGGAATACAATTTAATAAAAAATGTAGTTCTTTCCAATGATGTCCCTTCTAATATAGTTAAAAGAAAAAAAATTAAAAGGGAAGTTGCATAACACTGGAATATCATGAATTTGATAAAAAAGGATGTCCCTTCTAATATAATTAAAACAAAAAAAATGAGAAGGGGAGTCGTACAACATTGGAATATCATGAATTCGATGATCATATATTAATGGAGACTCTCTCTATCTCTGACTCTCTCTGACTCTCTCTATCTCTGCTTTTATATCCCTAAACCCCCCCAACTCCCTCTATCTCACTTTCCGTATTAAGTTTCTACGTGAATATAAAAAAAAGGTCTAGAATTGTATTTTGGGACATGCGAAACAAATATGCATTTTAATTAAAAATATAAAGAAGAAGAAAGACACTAATATTCAGCACACACACAACCTCATTCTAAGAAAGTAATATACTTCATTTTGTTCGAAACAAGAGGGATGCCACTAATAAACCCCTGATACCAAAAAGTTAAACATGGCGTATCATTTTTCTAATGGCATATATACAAGTTTATGGCCAGACTTATATTATGCATGAACTTGTATGCTCGCTATGCGAAACTTTATAGCAAATATTAATCTCAGTATCAAAAATCTCAGTATCAAAAACATAGGACACAATGTGTGGTCATAACGCTTTGTTTTTTTGTTAATATTCAACTCCCTTCTAACATAGTTAAAAGAAAAAAAAATGAGAAGGGGAGTTGCATAACACTGGAATATCATGAATTTGATAAAAAAATGTAGTTATTTCCAATGATGTCCCTTCTAATATAGTTAAAACAAAATAAATTGAGAATATTTCTTGATTGTTTCCTCTTATTTCCTATATATAAAGACATATGTTTGCAATAAGAATAAAATTCAACAAAAAATGTAGCTATTTCCAATGATGTCCCTTCTAATATATTTAAAAGAAGAAAAACGAGAAGGGGAGTTGCATAACACTGGAATATCATGAATTTGATAAAAAATGTAGTTATTTCCAATGATGTCCTTCTAATATAATTAAAACAAAAAAAATGAGAAGGGAGTAGCATAACATTGGAGTATCATGAATTCGATGATCATATATTAATGGAGACTCTCTCTCTATCTCTGCTTTTATATCCCTAACACCCCCCTGTTGACCTCATTTTTAGTGAGGTCTAGTCCTCCTCTTAGGGGTTAGGGACCTAGGAATTAAAAAAACAGGTCTAGATTTGTATTTTGGGACATGTGAAACAAATATGCATTTTAATTAAAAATATAGAAAAGAAGAAAGACAACATTATTCAACACACACACACAAACTCATTCTAAGAAAGTAACATACGTCATTTTGTTTGAAACAAAAGGGATGTCACTAATAAACCCCTAATAACCAAATAGTTAAACATAGCGTATCATTTTTCTAATGGCATACATACAAGGTTATGGCTAGACTTATATTATGCATGAACTTGTATGCTCGCTATGCGAAACTTTATAGCAAATATTAATCTCAGTATCAAAAACATAATACACAATGTGTGGTTATAACCATTTTTTTAATATTTAAGTCTAAGCCTACAGTAAATTTTTGTTTGCCCTTCATTTCTAAATTCTTCTATGTGCTAACTTATTTATTCTAGGAATTTTCACTATTTATGATGGTAATAACTCCTCATTATTGAGGATATCCTCCTTGATTGTATATTTCTTGATTGTTTCCTCTTATTTCCTATATATAAGGACATATATGCTTGCAATAGGAATACAATTCAATAAAAAATGTGGTTATTTCCAATGATGTCCCTTCTAATATAGTTAAAAGAAAAAAAATGAGAAGGGGAGTTGCATAACACTGGAATATCATGAGAAAGACACCATTATTTAACACATTTGATAAAAAATGTAGTTATTTTCAATGATGTCCCTTCTAATATAGTTAAAACAAAAAAAATTGAGAAGGGGAGTTGCATAACACTGGAATATCATGAATTCGATGATCATACGATGATCATATATTAATGGATGTCCCTTCTAATATAGTTAAAACAAAAAAAATTGACTTTTATATCCCTAAATCATCCTAATATCATGAATTCGATGATCATATATTAATGGAAACTCTCTCTATCTCTACTTTTATATCCCTAAATCATCCTAATATCATGAATTCGATGATCATATATTAATGGAAACTCTCTCTATCTCTACTTTTATATCCCTAAATCATCCTACCCCCCCCCCCCCCCAAAAAAAGAAGAAAGACACCATTATTTAACACACACACAAACTCATTCTAAGAAAGTAATATACTTAATTTTGTTTGAAACAAGAGGGATGTCACCAAAAAGTTAAACATGGCGTATCATTTTTCTAATGGCATACATACAAGGTTGGCATACATACAAGGTTAGACTTATATTATGCATGAACTTGTATGCTCGCTATACAAAACTTTATAGCAAATATTAATCTCAATATCAAAAACATAGGACACAATGTGTGGTCATAACGCTTTGTTAATATTTATCCCAATGAATGATCAAGACAGTTTAGACTCAACCAAAATGCTGATCTGATTAAATGAGTTTAATGTCCTACAAAAAATTTAATGATCATTAGTTAGAACATCAAGAATTTTACACCAAAAAATAATCAAATATAAATAGTTATTCTTCTGTACCTTCATCAAGATTAAATTCCACCTGGTTCTCACTATTGAATGCCGTAAAACCAATATTACCCAACCACAGCACTGCCGCAAGCATAGAGCTTTTTTTATCACCCTCAGTGATATGAAATGTGTCCAAAGCTTCCTAAACAACAAACGAAAGCAAATTAAGTAAACTTTTAATAGGAAGCTTTCAATAAGAAAACATGGAAAGCAGCCAAAAGATTAAATGCCGATGAAAAGGCTGACAATTAGTATATCACCATCAACAAATGAAATTTGTGGGAATCATCAATGCTGTCAACTTTCAAGCATCTGCTTTGCTTCAATAATTCATATTCATTTGCCGTTCTCAGGTTCAACTTCCCTGCATGTATAAACTCGGATGCCTTAGTTTTCATGTAATATGTCTTCTTTTTTAATAAGAGTAATTAGGAAAACACGGCCTTGCATGTTATCAGATATCTAGTTTTGTGCATGAAAACGTAAATCTTGGAAACCAGTAAAAATTTTCATCAATGAAACAAAACTACAAGTGGCCTTTATCATAGAAACAATTGGAACATTATGTGACATGCAATAAAAGCTCTTCGAGAAGCAAGTTTCTGTGATCATTCAAACCTCTACAATTTTCAAAATACCAGAGAATCTGCTCTACCATGCTAGCATTATAACTTTTTCTTTCAATGTAACGAACATCTGATATTAGTTTATGCATCAGGTCAACTACCATTACTTTACAAGAAATCCCAGCTGACAGTGCTAAAGTTACCCTATGGCAAACTTTAACAAAAAAGAAAGCAACTATAATGGGTCATCCATTGCAAAAACGGGTACTTACTATATCCTGAACTCATATCTATCAGAAATTCAAGTGAAATGATAAATTCACAAGGTGGAAATATAAGGATAAAAATTATAGAGTGAGGTGTCAGAAAAGTCCCCAGATTCTTTGCAGGGGCTCATATTTTAGTCACATAATTTATAAGTCAAATTAGCCCCACTCTTTAAATTGAGGCTGAGAGAGTTCATAGTGGGGATTATTTTAAAGGACAACCTGTGACTTTTATAAACTTTGGGACTTAAATGACCCCCTACAAAGGAGTCAGAAGATTATTTTGAACTTTTCTCAAAATTATAATTAGAGCTACAAATAAGGCACATTTTTTCCTGGAAGAGAATAATATCATTTAAAAAGATGGTGCATATTGATGACCTAAGAAACCAAATAATAATATACTCACTTTTAAGATAAAGAGGAGCTCCAGCACATAACTGATAGAAAACATGGAATGATCTTTCCTCAACAGCTCTTTGGACAACTCTTGACTGTTCATGAAAACAGCATTGGTATGTTTTTTAGTTGGCACTCTAATTTTACATCTTTCAAAGAAAATAGATTATACAAGGCTAATACACAGGCATTTAACTCACAAATCGACCGGAATTGTCATTTTGGAAGGTTTTTGCATTCCCAAAGGATTCTAGTATCGTATCGGCCATCAAAATCTCAAAATCAATTCCACCACTCCCAAGGGCGAATAGATGTTGCATAGCAATTTTTGCTGTTTCGGTTTTCCCAGAATTACTTTCACCACTGCATAATTCATTTCATAATCATCAATTATAACTGATACAAACAATTATCATGCAAAGAAAGAACAAGCCAAAAGCCACCATGACTAAAAAACAACACTGACTTACCTTAGAATGATGGACTGAATTTTCCCACCTGCAAAACCCATCAGATAACACTATTAGCAGTTTTGAAATGTGTCAGACAGCATACACTTAAGTACAAACATTTTTCATGGAGTTATAAGAATATTAGTTTTATACCTCTCAAAATTTCATTAAAAGCCCAATCTACTACTGCAAATACATGTTGAATTTCTCCAACTTTCTGCAGACATGCTGCAACAGACTTATTTTCCTGTATTGACAGGTCTTTAAAAGGATTAAGCGCAACCAAAACAGGATCTGCATTGCTCTGAAAAATTCAACAGGAAAAGAACATCAGTGCATCACATAGAAAATGATGCATAGTTTGTAAAACAATAATTTTTTCTTGGTAGGAACTTACATAAATCATATCCTGAGAATATCTGTACTTGAGACAATGAAGAATTGAAGGTTCATTTACATAACATAGCAGTGCCAGATCATTCACATTGTCCTGAACCACTGAATTTGCAGGCATAATCTTTTCTGAAGGCGACATCAAAATCTTTTCAGAAGGCAACATCAAAATCTGCGAGCAAAAGTTTGACAATATTCAGGACCACTGGTAATCACTCTAGTACACTATAACACATAGCATTATACAATATACTTACTTTGCCACTGGGCATCAATACTTGAGCATTATTCGCTGAAGCTGAATGAATTTTGGCGCACTCCCATTTCTCCTCTGGAAGCCAACACCAAACTCCAAGCTTCTGCAAAAATTTGGAAATGCCAAGGACTGATCACTTAAAATTGAACTAAGATAAAGAATTGAAATCACCAAACCAAACTTGATGAAAGCTCCAGCGGTCAAACAGATTCAGTTGATATGTGAAATAAAAACCAATAGGTAGAAATAATAAGCCAACTAACTATAAATCACGGGAGTAAGTATATTACAGTATATTACTAAAGTTAAAAGAACTACAATGAAGTTTATGTATAAGTATGAATAGCGGAGCAGTTGCAAAAGCACTCAAATCTCTAATGAAAAAAATGAAATTTCTCATCGAGTTCTGAAAATTTACCTTCTCGATTTTAATGTGATAACTAGAAATATATTTCTTTCAAAAAAACATTTCAGAAAAAAGTATGAGGGTTTACCGAGCAAAATGCTGGACAGATTATCCAATGACAACCTGAAAATCATTTGAATTACACTAATGGACTGAAGCAGTGCTGAAACTTCAAGTGAATAAGTAATTGAGCATGGTTATAATAATCAATAAAATGGCCCTAAAGGTTAAAAATGACTATAAGCAAACATGTGCAGGAAAAGAATCCTACTTAGCATCCCTTAAACCTGTAGGAGGGTCAACTCAACCAGCGACGTTATAGTACATACCACTAATTCTTGTGTATTTACATATAACTTCATTTTTACACACATGCCTCCTAACCTATGTATGAAAAGGTGTGTTTCACTTTTAAAAAGTACACACATGCCTCCTATGTATGAAAAGGTGTGTTTCACTTTTAAAAAGTTAAAATGGCAATAGTTCTTTATGTGATATGAAAGGCTTAAGTGTTATAAATATAAAAAGTAAAGTTTAGTTGTAAGATATGTAAATATAAATAAATTATGTGATATGTATTCACTTTTTAAAAGTTAAAATGGTGATTGTTTTTTATGTGATATGAAAGACCTAGGTATTTGTTGACCTCATTTTATAAATATAAAAGGTAAAATTTTGTTGTAAGATATGTAAAAATAAATAAATTATAAATATAAAAAGTAAAATTTTGTTGTAAGATATGTAAAAATAAATAAATTACGAGATATGTATGTAAATGCCCCTAGACTAAAATAATGCAAGAACATAAAAAAGAGAGCAAGAAGTACAGAAAGAACCTTGCCTTAAAAGCAACGGGCCAAAAAGTTCATATTTATAATAAGCAGACAGTTCACTTAAATGGAGTACACCTAAAAGCAATGCTAATTATAGACAACAAGACTGATGAACTTCATAAAGTTTTATGGCTAAGATAGGATGACCATTTGAAATGACAGAGGCCTGTATTAGCTGTGACGAGGGCATATATGTTTGCTTTCTTTAGATGATGGACTGATATAAACACAAATAAATGACATTGGAATATCCAATATTGACAAGGAAATCTGAGACAGGTTTTCTTTATCTTGCCAGAGAAATTCTTAGCATGCCATAAACACAAATAAATGTTTGCTTTCTTTAGATGATGGACTGATATAAACACAAATAAATGACATTGGAATATCCAATATTGACAAGGAAATCTGAGAGGTTTTGTTTATCTTGCCAGAGAAATTCTTGGCATGCCATAAACCAAACACATCATAACAAAAGTGAACTGTCTGCTAATATAAGAACCATCACAAAAAATAAATATGAAATTAGAACAAACTGGGTTATAATTTGATTATGACATGAACTATTTCATAAAATCAAACCTATCCATTTCATCAGGCAAGTAGAGAACTTTCAAATGAGAATTGTTACGGAAAATATTGAATCTAATGATTGTAAATTATGAAGTATGTATATTAGCAAGATTGATGCTAGATAACATAATTTGATGAGAACTAATTATAGGACTTTTTTCATTTTATGAAACCTAATTAAAGGAAATCTAATTATACGAACATTCTTATATTTTAAAATATTCATTATTTGTATGCCCTAATCCTCTCTTATTTATAGGAGAGTATCTGGAGGCTTTAACGAGTGTTGAATTTTAACCATAATTTATCTGATTTTTTTCCTTTATAGGATTTTTTTTCATGTTATGAAACCTAATTAGAGGAAATCTAATTACACGATCTTTCTTAAAATTAAAATATTCATTATTTGCATGCCCTAATCCTCTCTTATTTATAGGAGAGAATCTAGAGGCTTTAGTGAGTGTTGAGTTGTAACCCTAATTTATCTGATTTTTTTCCTTTACAGGATTTTTTCATGTTATGAAACCTAATTAGAGGTAATTTAATTACATGATTTTTTTTAAATTTAAAATATTCTTTATTTGTATGCCCTAATCCTCTCTTATTTATAGGAGAGAATCTAGAGGCTTTAGTGAGTGTTGAGTTGTAACCCTAATTTATCTGATTTTTTTCCTTTACAGGATTTTTTCATGTTATGAAACCTAATTAGAGGTAATTTAATTACATGATTTTTTTTAAATTTAAAATATTCTTTATTTGTATGCCCTAATCCTCTCTTATTTATAGGAGAGTATCTGGAGGCTTTAACGAGTGTTGAATTTTAACCATAATTTATCTGATTTTTTTCCTTTATAGGATTTTTTTTCATGTTATGAAACCTAATTAGAGGTAATTTAATTACATGATTTTTTTTAAATTTAAAATATTCTTTATTTGTATGCCCTAATCCTCTCTTATTTATAGGAGAGTATTTGGAGGCTTTAGCGAGTGTTGAGTAGTAACCCTAATTTATCTGATTGTTTTCTTTTATCCCCCCAACCTATTGATATTGGAATAAACTCTCCCAGTGGGCGTAGGTAGATTTGGGCCAAACCACGTAAATCACCCTGTGTATATTTATTTGTTTATTGAGTAACGTTGTTATCCGTAATGTTTTGCATAACAATTGGTATTAAAGATCTAAATATAGAATCTTTTCTATGTTATGAAACCTAACTAGAGGAAATCTAATTACATCATCTTTCTTATATTTGAAATATTCCTAATTTGTATGTCCTCGACCTCTCTGATTTGTAGAAGAAATTATGGAGGATTTAGTGAGTGTTGAGTTGTATCCCTAATTTTGTTAGTTTTTTTTTTTTCCTTTCTCCCCAACCTATTGATAGTGAAATAACCTCTCCCCATGGACATAGATAAATTTGGGCTGAACCACGTAAACCACACTGTGCTTGGTTTCTTGTTTGTTGAGTGAAGTTGCTATCGTCATTGTTTTGTAAAAATTTTAGGTGATGATGAACACTTTCTGCAAGAAAATGTGGAGGATATTGGAAAACAAATATCTCACAAAGAGCATGAAGAATCATCTTCATATAAAGTGTCATCTCTACATATTTCAAATAAGATGTGAGGTTATTATTAAAGAGCACCTAAATGATTTTACAAAAATTTTAACTGATCTTTTAAATCTGGATAAGGTTGGAAATGAAAACAATATACTTCTGCAATTGAGTTTGCTTCGGATGAGCACGAGATCTTCAAGAATACAATAATTCATTGGTAGGAGAACTTGAATTGTGACGATATGACTACGACATTATTAAATCATTAGTTGCGTCGAAGGGACAAAAATGATTCAAAAATGGAGTATGCTAAGACGCTTACACTCCAACATGGTAAACCTGACAAGAAAAAAGAATTGCGCAAACAAGGGTGGCAAAGGCGATACGTTTCAAAATTGGGACAAGTCTAATGAGCACAGTCTTGAAGAAAATCAGTTTACTTTCTGTTTAGAAATTGGTCATTAGAAAAAGATTATCCGAAGTTGAAGGAGAAGGGAAATGAAGTTTCCTCTAACGCAAAATCGAACCTTATTATGGATATGAGTGGTGAAGCAAATTCAAATATATCATTATCTTTGGTTGTGTACAGATGATTCGTATTGGATTCTAAACATGAGAGTTGCATATCACATTTGTCCCCATCGAGAGTGGTCAAGATGCATGATGATACTGTGAGACAGCTGACTGTTATTAGACATATTCTGGATATCAGGAAGAATTTGTTGTCAGTTGAGAAGGGCTACAAGGTAGTCATTGAGACAGATGTTCTAAGGATGTGTCGTGGAGCACTGACTTTTAAAAAATTACTTTTTATTTAGAAACTAATCATTGGAAGAAAGATTATCTGAAGTTGATGAAGAAGAGAAAGGAGTTTCCTCTGAGGCAAAATCCAATCTTATTGTAGAGAGGAGTGATGAGGCGAATTCAGATATATTGTTATCTGAAATTTCTCACTATTGGTATGGGCAGCATCTTTATCAAGATATATGATGATACTGTGAGAGAGTTGAATGATATTAGACATATTCCGGATATCAGGAAGAATTTGTTGTCTTAGGGGAGGGCTACAAGGTAGTCATTGAGACAGATGTTCTAAGGACATGTCGTGGAGCACTGATTTTTTAAAATCAATATACTTTTTGTTTAGAAACTGATCACTGGAAGAAAGATTATCCAAAGTTGATGAAGAAGAGAATGGAGTTTCCTCTGAGGCGCGATTGTAGAGAGGAGTGATGAGGCGAATTCAAATATATCAATATCTGAAGTTTCTCACTGTTTGTATACAGATGATTTGTATTAGATTCTAGACATGAGCGTTATATATCACATTTGTCCCCATCGAAAGTAGGTACAAAAAACTGAATAACAATGCAGTTACTATGAGCAATAATTAAGGATCTCGTACTGTTAGTATAGACAACATTTTTATTAGGATATATGATGATACTGTGAGAGAGCTGACTAATGATAGACATGTTCAAGATATCAGGAAAAATTTGTTGCTAGTTGGGGTCTTAAAGCTCAAGGGCTACAAGGCAGTCATTGAGACAGATGTTCTAAGGATATATCACGGAGTACTGATTTTTATAAAGAAAGTTTATCATCACAACATTTACTATATTTGGGATAGTGAAGTGACTGGAATGGCCGCTACTGCTAATAATTATTTCGATACTCTTACATTTGTGACATATACAAATAGTTCATGCTGGAGTAGCTTCAGGAAGTAAAA